TTCTTCTTCTTCTTCTTCTTCTTCTTCTTCTTCTTCTTCTTCTTCTTCTTCTTTTGCTTTTGCTTTAGCTTCGTCCTCTGCTCCTCTTCCTCTTCTACTTCTTCCTCCTCTGGTTTCTGTTTCTGTTCTCGTTCCTACTTTTTTGTTTTTTTCTCTGTTCTCTTTCCTATCTTTCTTATCAATTGTAAATGGGTTTTTTTAATGGGCTTAAATTTCTTTCCCTTTGTTTTAACGTGTAGACAAAAAAAACACAGTCGTTGATATTTTAAAGCCCTTTGGCGATTAGAAATCGGAGCTCCCCAATTTGTCGAAAATAGCCTGGATCTATCCTTGCATTTGTTTATTCCAGCAAAGAAAGCAATAGGTCATAGTGCTTAGAAGACAGATGACATATCAAAATTGCTGGAATTCTATCGCTCGGCAAAACCTATTATTCCATGATTTAAGAAAGAGAAAGAGTAACCTTTTCACAACTAAAATTTACAGCAAACAATTTAGAGTCAGAACTCATTGAAGCTCTTGCGTACCAAGGAAAGATCGATGTCAAGCGAGGAACTCAGCCTAGCTCGAGGTGTGCAGTCATACACTACCAATTATTGACAATATATGTTGGGATTCTGGTACGATACTACGTAAAACACAAGTACAATCAGGCGCCAAAGGCAAATGCCGACTTCTAAGTCGCAACAAACACGGTACTGCAAAATGTCACCCATTGCTCATCAAATTTTAAAGGTTCGCCTTTTTTTTTTTTTACTCATCTAAAGGTTCAGCAAAATTCTAAACATTTGTACAGACTACCTAACTAATTTCAGAACGGGTAATTAAAATGTTGCAAGAGGTACATTTTGAACATTTTGTTTAAGTTACAGAGCTATTGTTTACTCCAAGTGCATGAGGTGCACTCTCCACCACAGACTTTGCTAATTATGGGGTACGACGCTGCTCAGCGTGTTTGGGTAAAAAGGGATTTGATGGGGGTGTGGGTGAAATGAGGGGGGTGGTACAGTGGCAACACTCATCACTGAAATAACTTATCGACCTTTTTCTGTTCACAGCTTCATCCAAGTACAGAGCAAGACAGCGAGATTGCAGGACCGAAATGGCGGGCAAATTTTGTAACAAAAAACAATAATAATGTAATAGAAGACGTCTGCAACAAAAGAACCACGAGGATCTATCAACAAAGTAGAATGTGTAAAAGAAAACCGTCATAAAAATAAAAGAAACCCAGCAAAGCATATGTTCACTGAAATACAACGGCGTTATGCAACAGCTCATGGCCCAAAAGCCTTAATCGATGTATTTCAGCCAAAATGCCCATGGCGGTAACCCACAGTAAATAACAAAATATTGCCATCAAAGGGAGTGAACAACACTCCTTGTTCTACAGTAATGGGCGATAATGCAAGGGCAAACCTAGCAGGTGGCGAGAGCCAGTACTCTCCATCACTGACAGAAATGAATCACAACCCGGGGAGATTGATTAGACATCCGATCAGACAGGGTCAGTTATTGAACTCTACGATATTTATTGTTTCCATTTGCTGCACAATTACAGGTTCTTGACAGGCCAATAGTGATGAATGGACGGGAGCCACAGGGTGTGAGATCAATCGATCTGGTATGGATCTTAGAATTGTTCTACAAACTGCGTCTATAAACAACCGACAGACGGTGAAGCTAAAGGATAACTGCATCAACAATAACGAATAACTTTGAGAGTGGGTGACGAAATTAAAGACGAAAAATCCCAAAGACGACAATAATAAACATATGGAAATGAACAAGAAAATCAGTTTTAAAAAGAACGTCTTAGTCTTTGTGGTGTTTCAGTCTGAAAGAAATCTGACCTTCAGTACCTCAGTGTCAAAGCTCTAGCATCCTTTTGTGCTTGGTAAAGCAAACTATTTGTATTACATAATATGTGTGTGTGTTTGTGTTTGTGTGTGTGTATATA